TTATTATTGTTTTTAAACCATCCACCATGTTGTCTCTTGACTATTGTTATTACTTTTTGTATTTTTCTTCTTTGTTTAATCTTGTATCTATAAATCTCTCATGAATATTGTTGTTCCTTCCCTAAACAAGAAGGATAACATACATAACGAAGCGATGAACTGTTTGCTGTCTGATTGAACCTATTATCCTCGAGGAACGTTATCAAGACAGTAAGGAACGTTTGACCAAACAGGTCAATTAGTAACTTTTCTTTTCATTTTCATTCTTTAAAAAAAAGTATAAGACATTAATTAGAGTTCTATCCTCGTGGGAACGATAATCTGGGCATAATACTCCCATTTATTACTTGATGCGTGCACTTGTGCACTTGGGTTGAACTAAGAGAACAACTGTGTTCTTTCTTAGTGACTGAGGAACGTCTTCATCATAATACACTTTTTAACCAACAACATTTGAACCCAACAATGACCACAGGGGAGGCTAGAGGACCGGATACTTTCATTGGAGATTTCATTCGCGCGGTGGCACCCGCGCTTGATTCAGCACCAATAGCAGCAGCAGACTTAGTCGGCATGGAAGGACTTGCACCAGCAGTATTGCGCCTAGCCGCCATATTCTCCAACCTACTTCAAGAAGCCTCCATTGAACTATCTGCAACAGATCCAAAAAGTGGCGTTCGCGTTAGATATATGAAATCCACAAAACAGAGTACACAATATTCGTTTGGATTAAAATCGACAAAACAAGTAAAGGTCGAAGTTACCCAAATATGCTCGAATATCATCATCATAATATTCGTTCAAGATTGTATACGTGCTAAGAGAGCCCGTATCAGAAGCTTCACGTGCAATATTACTTAGCATGGTCACAGTATGCTGTTCTAGATCACGTAAATCGTCAAAATTGTAGACCAAATTAGCACCGTCAGCAGGATACTCAGTCCAATACAAGGGAAAGATATGAGTATTATCTTCTCCCAAGAAAAAGGGGGTGACATTTTCAGCGGGATAAATATTGAAGTATTCCGTGATCCACTTGTTAATCTTCCTGCAGTACGACTCACAGAACTTTACCTTGCTCCTAAAAGATATCCAGCTAGAGCGTGGTCCCATCACACTAAACATATATAAGAATGACTCTATTGACTGAAATAGACCATAGGCCTTGCAGACCATCTCATACACCCTGATAAAACCCCAGGCATTAGGGGTCAGTTGTGAAGGCGCCAAATTAAGATGCGCCAGCAGTTTACAGACAAAAGAGGAAAAGAGAAGACGAACTCCTATGGATAAGAAAAAATAGGAGTACATCATCATGAAGTGTCTAGTTGATCCTTCTGCGCGCAGAGAACAAACGCCCTCGTTCTTTGGAACGACACCAACTTCCCATTGATCGTCAAAAGCTTTATCAGGAGTGAGGTGGATAGCAGTTGTTACTTGCGCCAACTCTTCTGGGGAACAATATATAGACTCGGTATCCAATACCGTATTTGCTACCCAACTTATGGATTCCTCATCCCGTAAATTCTGTTTGACAGAGGACTCTCCTTCAGGATCAATTTGTAAAACTTTCTTCTTGGAATCAGAATGCAACTTCTGCTTCTTCTTCTTCTCATGGGCACCGTGTCTTGCCATTATTTGCTTGATTTGAGGAGACACAAAATCTGATTCAGAAGAAGAAGAATCAGTAGAAGAAGACGAATCAGAAGAAGCAGAGACATCAAATGCAGATTTATAATTATCAAAATTCATTTTCTTAAAAGGATACCCTGCCGGATATATTACATTTAGAGGTAAGGGACTTGGACTCTTTCGACCACGATCATCTTGTGCGATGGGAGACGAAGTATCGCGCAAAGTATTTGGAGAGGATGGTTTAGCGTTTACTGTATTTATAAACTCATGACTGCATTAATAACTTGAAGATGAATCACTTGAAATCAAGATGGGACCAGACATTTTAAAGGAAATCTTTGGGAACAAAGATGAACTCTGTTGCGAAAGAGTTTCTACGTGTTCGCGATTCAAGGGTCGCGAAGATGAGCCAACCTCAAACCGTCTAGAAGGAAAATGGCTATCATTTACAAAAATGTTAGAAAAAGGAGAGGCACACTTGTCAGTAAGCCATACTTCCCTAGTTCCAAATGACTTTGATCTAGGTAGTGATTTAGGGGGAGGACTGGATGAGCCAGACCGTTCAGTTAATCTGATAAAATTCACAAATTTGCGATTATCAGACATATCCCAAACTTAAACAGCAAAATAGATGAGGTAATAAAGCAGGATGAAGAACATACCTGAAATTTATACTTCGGATTATCAACCACAGGCAGGAGGTGTCAACACCAGAAATGCAGAAGATATAAGCAAACACTGAGGAGTAGAGGATTCCTCACGATATCAGTGAAGTATTTTCCCTCCAAACCAAAAAGCTCAGTACAAATATGAAAAGTTTTATCGAACGGATAGTCCAAAGGCCACAAAACGTGTTGAGAAAAATGATTTCACGGGGACACGTGGAGGGAAGGGGAAACGTTTGCACTTCAAAACCACCCACGCTTACCCTTAAACACTCACGTAATGACAGTAGCATTTAATGCTCCTGACAGTTAAACGTCTAATCCGCCGTTCTTAAGCGGCTAAAAATCATGAAGACACTTTAACATGATTATCGCGACAAACAAGAAGGACATATGGAATATAACTATCGCGCTCAACAACATATAGCTCACAGCTTTGCCACATGACAAAACTGCTAGCTAGGGGGCAACTGATCCGGACAAAATACAGAAGGCCCATTGGAGGCCCAATAACACACAAAGCCCAATCTCGTGAAGGGTTCAGAACTAAGCGCGATAGTCATCATCGCGCACACGGCAAGACGCGATACCCCCATCACGCATGGAACCGCCTTCAGGCATAAACTCCAGGAAAGAGGAAGTTAACTTGAGAACTAAGGCAAAGCCCTCTGCGCCTTTAAATTAATAAACAGAGGGCAGCTCCAGCTTGCCGCGACTCTATAGCTTAACATTAAGAAGATAAGGCTACTTAGGTTCTAGCCTGATCGGCAGCCCGAAACCTGGCCAATCAAAGGCCATACCGCCTTACGTAGGCGGCATCATAACCGCTATATAAGCAGAGGGTACAACACCCAGGTACATTCATCCCTCACATTAAGAACATATATACTCCTGCTTCTGATACTGACTTAAGCATCAGAGTGTCTTCGCAGGTACCCCTCATTCGATCTCACCGCTCTAACAAAGGACAGAGACGTAGTGATATTCAACTTCAACTCCAGACCCAAGACCAAGAACATCGATCCACATCTCAACCGTGTGTAATTAGGCTTGATATATATTGGCCAGTCCATACTGTATTTGGTCTGATCAGTTATCAAACCTTCTTATTTTTTAACTTCAGTCAACAAGCAATTAATTAGTTGTTTGCCCTAAGTGTAAAACCAATGAATGTGAGGCTTTTAAGTGCTTGTAAGTGAGAACAACTTTGAATGCTGATAAATTTTGTCTAAATTAAAAATGTAACACATGGCTGTCATATTCATGTATGTCATTGGAACAAAAAGTAAAATATTATTAAATTAGATATGAATAGAAATTTTGCAAGAATTACTTATAACAAAATAGACTTATATAAGTGTTTTGACTCAAAAAGGAAGAGAAATGACTTTAGGTGGATGGATAATAACCGCATGCATATGCATTTTTATTTTTATTTTGTTTCCCCTCCCATTGTATAGGTCCTATTTTGAGTTTAATTTAGATTATGTTTCCCCTTTTCAGAGACTAATTCTTAAAACAAAATTTCATTTAATTGTTTACAATTCAAGATTATTTATTGATGTAAATTTATTGTATTTAGTTGTATAATTGATTGTTGGTTCGCTTGCAATATGTATAATTGATTACTATTGTAAGCTTACAATGTTAGCCGATTTGATTAAATTTACAATGTTATGGTACAATCTAATTGCAGATCTTTCGGTTAAACCACCTTCACCATTGCATTCTATGATTTTGAAATATGAATTAAGATATAATGGTCTAATTTTAATATATTTAATCCATTTTTATAAAATAGAATAACTTAACAAAGGGAAGTTAATTTGTACTTTTGAATTTGGTTTATTAAAAAATAGAACTTATTTTTATTCTATTTTATTTTATTTTTATGTTTAATAAGTCAATTGCATTTCATTAACTTTCAATATGATTTACTTTAATCTTAAAAAATAATTATAATATCATTTGTTTTATCTTTAAAATATATTTTACTAAAATGTATTTTTAATTTTACATATAGTTAAAAAATTTATAAAATAAATTTGATATAAAAATAGTAATAAAAGAATTTTCTTTTTTCTTTTTATTTTGAAAATATGTTTTTAAGACAAAATTACCACACAATTTTCTTCTGTTCTTTAGCTTTTAAAACTCTTTTAAAAGTAATTTTATCAAACAAAAATTTTCTTTCTTTTATTATGAAAACCAATTTTCTACAAAATAATTTTGAAAACAAAAAAATAAAAACACAATGAGTCATTTATTAAATCCGTTATTTTAGCTTAATTAGTTATTGACAAAAACATTTATAAACGATGTATTTTGGTAAATATTTATTGGTTTTATAAGAAAAAATATTGAAATAAGTAAATTTTTCATAACCGTTGATTCACCTTTGTATATGATTGTAATCTTTTTATATGAATATGTCATTTTTTTTTTCAGGCGAGAGGAAATACTCTCTCTTTTTAAATTTGTTAAGAAAAAATATAAAAGGCCAATAAATATATTACACGATTATTTTATTTAAAATAACATAAAATTATATTTAACAAACATTTTTTCCTTAATTATTTAATAAAACATTTTAAAGACTTTCTTTTCGCATTAAAGTCAAATCTGAAACTTGGAATTGGAAGGACCAATTGGGCTTATTGTAACGAAACGGCAAAGCCCAAATGCACTGTAAGGAATGAACACTGTTTATATTCCAACCATCAAAGGTTCTCCAATTTCACAAAACCCTAACACTGCCTCACCAATTTGCATGCTTTGTGAAGATGAAGGCAACAGAAGCAGAGGTAATGCTGCTTTTGAGTTCAATTAAAGTTTGTTTGTTAATGATGTTTGTGATTACATAAGTTGGTTTTTGTATGTTTTTAACTTTTAAGGACAATGCTGATGCTGGAAAACATGTTTCCCATGAATCCGATGATAATAAACCATCTGAGCATGCAAAAGGGTTTCATGAGACTGTTAGTGAGGTTAGTTATTTTAATGTAATCGTTCCACTTTTCAAGGGAAATGAAAATGGGGTCACAAATATTTTTTGGCTTGGTTCTGATGTTAACACTCTTTTGATTGCAGAGTTTTGTGAAGGAAGGTGAGAATCTAGATGAGAATGTCTTAGACCTGAGGTTAGAGAATGGAGGAAAATTAGATGAGGTGAGACTTAAATTATGGTTGCTGAATAGAAACATAAACCTTTACTTCCTTTTTTTTTTTTATCTCATTTTTGGATTCCTCCTATGTGTATCTTTCTTTGTTGTATAGTCATTGTTATAATGTTGTTTATAGGAAAAAATCGCTGGTTTGATGCTATCAGTTGATTTGATAATCTATGTAAAACCTTAGGCCATCAATGTATTTTGGTGTTCCTTCAAAATTTCTGAGATCTATTTTCACAACTATAAATATAGTGAAATTTGTTTTGCCATGAACGTTAACCACTTTACTAGATCAAATACAAAGAGCTTTTAAGAGGTAGCTTTCCTTGAGTCCCTTTAATGACTACAATTGGTCCCTGTTGTGGGCTGCACTTTCTTCAATTTTGTGTTAATTGAAATAGCAGAAAAATACTCATATTGGGCCTAGCAGATCCCAATTCCTACGTACGTTTACTTCTTAGTTCATCATACTAATGAAAATGAAATGCAGGTGTCTTGTGAATCTCTGGCCTCTGATGTTGAATGGGTTTTAACCCCCAATGAGGGTGTATCCTCAAAAGCTTCAGGATGGCCTTCCTTCAACACCAAATCATCTTCTCACACTTATTCTCTTTCAGCAGAAGAGCAAGAAATTGTATCAGTACTTCGTTTGCAGCACAAAGCATTAGAAGCTTGCCAAGAGTTCTTAGTTGGCAATGCTGGTTCCGATTCTGACAAAGATGGCAATGATGATGATGATGATGATGATGATGATGGAGATGAAGATGAGTTGGTAGATTATTATGATTCTGAAGAACGTGAGGAGTATAAGTTCTTTGAAAGAGTGTTTTCAGATGATGTTGACTTGAGGAGATATTACGAAAACAATTATAAAGAAGGAGAATATTATTGTTTAGTTTGTGGGGGTATAGGAAAGAAGGTATGGAAGAGGTTTAAGAATTGTATTGCACTACTTCAGCACTGCACTACTATACAAAGGACAAAAAGGAAGCAAGCTCACAGGACTTATGCACAGGTCATCTGTAAAGTTGTTGGTTGGGACATTGATCAGTTGCCAGCTATTGTGTTAAAGGATTTTGATTCCTCCTTGGCAGCTTCAAGGAACCTTTTGGTGAGCAATCTTAAGATATATCTCTATTCTGTATTTTGAGTTTATAAATACCTTAATAATGCTTACTTGGCTGAGTTGATTTGTACAGGTTGAAGACAAAAAACCTGCAGTGGATCACATTGATGTTTCAAATGTAAGTTTAAGTGAGATATTTGTATGTCCTATGTAATTTGGTTTGGATTATAGTATGTTGACTAAGTTAAGTTGTTCTGTGACAGGATGAACCTGATAATCATACTGATGGTCATATTGATGATTAAGATGTTCTACTGAAAAGTAAAGGCTAAATGAATAGTAATTTGTGATATGGTTTGTAGGTACTAGGGAGGCCCATATTGTTGTTCACAATAATGGGGAGCCTGCTGATTATGACTTCATATAAGTTTGTATCTTTGTCTCGTGAATTCCCCTTGCACCAGGGATAATTTTGTAAATCGATCCATTGTAAATTTCACGCACTCAAAAAGATGATGCCTAACTTGCAGTAGTTATTTACATTTACATGTATCCCTTTTAAAATTGTATATATTTTATCAACAAAAGTCTAATTGGATATGCAGAAAGAATTCCAATGAATCATGTATCCAAACTATTCACTTAACAACCATTGGGAAAAGTGTGTGCAATTCTAAATGACACAAGTTGTGTTATTTTATAGACAAAAAGAGATAAGACATACATCTTTATTTTATTTTTTAGTAAGACTCATCTCTTTTTCTATAAAATGACACAACTTGTGTCATTTAAAATGATATATATTTTTCCCTTAGAATAAATTACAAATGAATAATTTTTATTTTTATTTTTTTGTCGAGTGAAGTAATATAATAAAGATAGATAAAGAATGAGATGTTATTCTACTTAACTTTTTTTTAATGTTTATCTTACCTATTACTCTCCAACACCCTTGATTAGAATTTTATCATATCTTTTTTCTCATCTGACGGTCTTGAAATGTGGTAGGAAAGATAGATATAAAAAAAAATAGTTAGAATAACATATTTCATAAAGAATTTCCTTTATTTTTTTTAGGGAAAACTTAAAAACCTCAAAATGATTTGTTAAATTATTTTATGGAAAAAAAGTATCTAATGTTACTTTAGACAACTTTATTTAATATTCATCGAAACGACGTCATTTTGAGATTGAAAAATTTAAAAATTTAAATGGTAAAAACTATTATAATCCTGAAATTAAATTAAAATTATAAAAATATCATAATTTTCGTCTCAAAACGTCATTTCAATAAAAATAAAATAAAGTTATCTAAAATAACTTTAGAAAAAACAAACCTTTATTTTATCATGATATTATAATAAGAAGTCTTAAACGCAATGTTAGTAATTGACTAATTTAGATTTAATAGCTTACCTATCTAATAAATTAAATGTTAGATATAAATAGAATTAATGGGGGTGAAAGGTTTTTTTTTTATATATATACAATTAGCAATTCAAAATATATATTTTTGTTTTTGAAATGTAACTTTCTTTACAAAATCCTCCATTACTTTGTCAACTTGTCATTAGATTAATATTACTTTGATAACATAAACTTAAGTGAAGCTACCTGAACTTGAACTAACATGCAGTTACATTGACAATGCTCAGGGTTTAACATGAAAGGAAAATAATATACTTTTTGAGTTATATTTATCTCATTCAACATGAGATAACTCATCTTCCTACACACGTAACAAAAGTGAATCTCACCTTTATTTTTTTCTCTTTCTAATCGTTTGTGGATCCCTCTTATTATTTTGTTTCAGTAACATAAGATAACTTATCTACATCAACATGAAAAAAAGATTTCCCATAATTTTTAGCCCCTTTATGATGAAAAGATGGCTTATGAAATAAACAAATAAGAATATACTGACTTTACAAAATTTATCATCTATTAAAACCTAAATTTAAAAATTGACCAACCAACCACTCCTATTAAATCCCAACTAGCGAGGGTAAGGGTGAAGACAATCCTTTGTACGCAACTTTACACTTGCATATTTGCAAAAATGCTGTTTTTCGAATTCGAACCCGTGACCTTTCGGTCACAAAGGAACAATTTTACCACTGCTACAGGCTTGCCCTCTTTAAATTCAAAAAAATGACCAATGAAAAAAATTATTTCTCAGTGCACAAACCATCATAAGAGGAAGGGGAAATTGTCACTCGAGTGTAGGTGAATGTACCTGCACTACTATGTTAATACTCAATAGAGTTTATATTAAAGTTCTCTCTAACAAAGCAAAATCCTTACTACAATGTGAAAGCGTAGCTTACAATGCCATCAAATCAAAAAATTAATAGGGCCTCGCATCCTCTGAGATTCACCCTCATCTTTCGCTTGTGTGGACTTCATCTTGAGCTAAAATTTGAAAGCACCAAAATTGTACAGTACAACTATAAAATTTTCCAATGTATTGGATCATTAATAACCCTTGTTTCCACGAATCCTAGCTCTCATATCAACCTGACAAGAACATAAAAAAATATAATAAAATTAGCTGTTTAATTTTAATATCATATCAAACCTTACACAAAAAGAGGGCGAGCATATCCTTTGTGATTGTAAGGTCACATTTTCGAATATGGAAAATAACTTCTTTGCAGATATGCAAGGGTAAGACTGCATACAAGAATTTTCCTCCATCCTACCCTCGCTAGTCAGGGTTTAATGAGGAGTATTTTATTTTTTAAATCAAACCTTACATATGAATATATGATATTATCAACATAAATTTATTCATCATTTTCTTCAACAACTGCATACATTTTTACCAATGGTTCTCTAAGCCCTGCTACTTACAAAATTTGCACACATGTAGATGGCAAAATGGACTGTGGAAATATCTAGGTCAGCTGCTATGACTTATTGCAAACCAACTTTATAGAAGTAAAGGCCATGAAGGCCTTAATAAAACAAAATGAGCTTGAACTATGGTGCATGTGGGCATTACTACTAACAAATATTGTTCCTAAAAACAATCTACTTGAATACAATCCTGAATTAGAATAATGCCTTGTTGGATGTTAGTTGCTAAGAAGTACAATCACCAAATGCAATTATGAGCATGCTTAACCAATTTAAAGTCTTCAAGTAGGATCATAAACAAGATATTTTAACCATTTCAAGATCTTCCAAGCAGCCACGCAAGAGATTAACACCCCCCCCCCCCCCCCCCCCCCCCCCCAAACCCAAAAACAAAAAAACCATTTTTTAAGTATCAAACACTTCCCAATAGGACAAAAGTTATAGATATTAGTTAGGGCGCAATTCTTTCTACTTACTCTTACTTGCCCAAACACTATGATTCAATTTGACTCCGATCCTACATCGGGCCTTGCCAAGATATGATGTTGGCCTCACCAACATGGTTTTGGTTTAAATCTAAATTAAACTTCATGTATATAGATTAAAAAGATATAGGACAGACCATATCATATAGACTGACATTACCAGCTTAACTATCAAACCATTTCAACACTCGTCCAAGTCCCATTGCTGACAACTACTCAAAACTTTCTTACTTGAGGGAACATAACCATGAATACAACAACTAGTTTCAAAGAGGGTTTCAGCAAAATTTCCTTGCCCACCAGAGAGAAAAAAAAAATAATCCTTCTGTAATCATACCATCCTTTACTTTGAAACCTAAAGCAAGAAGGAGCTTCAAATAAATTATAAAAACTTAATTACACTATCACTTGCCCCCAACGTTATTTCATTTTAATTCACCGTAACTCACCGTAACTTGTGGACCAAAATTATTGTTCCATCCTTATCACTCAGAATAATTTTTCCAAAAAGCCCCTAGATTTACTTGCCCTTCCTTACTTTTCAATTCCATACTTGCAACTATATATCAGTTTATAAACATCTCTTCTTGCATTATTTTGTGATACGATAGTTTACAAATAACCAACCAGATAATTTGGTTGAACTCCATTTTGTGATACTATCAGTCACAAATATGACAATAGCAATGACAAAAGTGGCCAATCATGAAAATTTCAACATTCATTCAGAATTTATCAAGTTTAACCCATAGGTTTAGTAAATGCTAGCAGCAAAACAACTCCATGGAAAATAAATATCCCCAAAAGAAACAATGGCAGGTGCATGCATTTGAAATCACATAAAAGGTACCATGATCAAGTTCAAAAGGTAAAAACTTGCCTGGCCTCTCTTGCAATTGAAATAGGTTTCCCTGAGTCCCACACACTCACTGGGTATTGATGGAATCTTCTCTCCAGCACACTCTCTATAGGATCTCTTGTCAACCTATTCTCAAACACAAACACATCCATTCATCATCACAAGATTCAAAATTAAACATTGCAGAAATCACACTAAGAAAAATCAATTTTTTTTAAAAAAAAATAATAATAATCCAATAACACCACACAAATCATCCAAGCCTAACCTTAACACAATCAGATTCACTGAGACACTTGACTAGCTCCATGGCCAAACCCTTGCAAGACTTGGACATTGTCCCTCACCCACTTCGCTTTCAGCTCTCTTAAACATAAAAAACCACAAACCCACATCAATTAACAGAAAAAAGTTTGAAACTTGAGGATAAACATGGGCAAAGGTTTTACCTTGAATCACTTTTTTCACATAAAGGTACAAACTTTCCTTCATTTTCATTAATAAGGAGAGGTTCCAGAAAAAACCCAGATGGTTTTTTTCAGCGTTTTACAAAATTGACTTTTGGTCTGAAAATTTTAGCCCGGCCCATATTGTCACTTCCGACCCGACCCGTTATAGAAAAGGGCCTCACCCACGTCCTTCAGCAGAGATTGAAAGTTGGAACTATCAAATCAAGATTTAAGGCTTTTTGACCCTTATGACCCTTAATTAATAATTAATTATCAAATTGCCCTTCATTTAAAACTATTTCGAAAATTTAACCCCCTTCAAAAACATAACACTAATCTGCCCCTGTTTGACCGTTGACCACGAAGCCTACCAGGATACACCCTTACCTACCCGGGTATTTTTTGAAATTTTTTTGCTACCCGGGTAGAGTTCTTGAATCTGGAAAAATGGTTGAATTATTTACCCGGGTAGGGAGGAGTGTACCCGGGTAAATCGCGTCCAGAAACCCCAATATCTATGGGTTTAGGCCATTGTTGCGAGGTATAGGGTTTTTGAAACCCCAAATCTCTCTCCCTTACCCTCTCTAATCCGAAACATCACACATATTTCATCTCATCATTTCAGAAAGCTTAATCTTGGTGGGACATTGAGATTACATCTCCACACTCCCATTTTGTGCTCGAAAATCCGAACCAACCTCCAAACCCAAAACCTAGATCTAATTTTTGTGTGAAAGATGAGTTCAAGTCCAAACATGGTTCCTATAGTTATTTACTACAATGGGAGGCATTTTGAAGGTCCGAACGGTGTCCGATTTGAAGGAAAAACAAAAACGATGAAAATCAAAGTGGGCACTACATGCAATGAACTGAAGGAAAGAATTCTTCAAAAAATGGGGTCAGAAGGCATCCATTCCATCCACCGCATGATAGCCAGGTTAGAGACTGTAGTGGATATGGATACAATATACTACATTGGTAACGATATAAATGATGATGAAGATGTGGAGTTCGTAACAGATGCGTTTGTTGAATGGAAAGTATTAAAATATATTGAGATATATGTTGAAGTTGATGCTGGTCAATCTTCATCTTTACCGGTGCATACAACCACTACTGCACACTGTACCGGTCAAGAAGATACAATTGTACGATCTTCTGCACCTCCTCAGGTAGCATTGGATGAGGATGAAGACGAGGACTATGTGGACAGCGAAGATGAGGAAGAACCTGAAAGTGCTATTCCAGAAGGTGATTCGTCAGACACTGACGTGGAGGGAAATTTTGAGGCTGACACGAGCGTCGTATGTCTGGGTACCCCAGCCTTGTCACCACTTCATGTCGACCCAGTCAGTAGTGGTAAGTTATTAAATTTGAACATTTGCTTTAGACAATTTATTATTTGTGGTGGTATTCATTCAGACAAATGAGAGTTGATCTTTAGATGCAGGGACTGAGGTGGAGCCATTCTGGAATGAAAGCCGACATTATTCATTCATTAACTGGGCGCACCCTAATGACGAGCTAGAGATCCTATATGGCGATGATGACTTGCACGGAGGTTGGAAGTTAGGAGATCCGTTATTTGTGCAACAAGAATTTGGGTCCAAACTAGAATTGCAACATGTTGTGAAGATACATTGTATGAAGGGGCGTATGACAGCCATAGTCGAAAAAAGCGACGAGTCAAGATTTGTTATGAAGTGTAAAAACCATGGCGACGGTTGTCCCTGGTACCTGAGGGCAATCAAGCCGAAGAAGGGAGCTAATTGGGTGGTCCGTAAATGGGGTGAAGATCACACATGCCTGAACCAGGGCCTGTCACAGGATCATAGACAGTTGGATTCAGATGTCATTTGTGCGACTATAATGAGTATGTATTCTACTGTCTACTTAGTGGAAATTCTTATTGAGAATATGGTAAAGTTGTGTTTTTTTTTTTACAGATATGTTAAAGGAAGATCCATCTACAAAACCCGCTCTGATTCAAGAGAGAATACAGGGAATATATGGATACAACATATCGTACAGGAAGGCCTGGAAGGCAAAAATGAAGGCCATTGTTAAGCTGTATGGTGACTGGGAGAAATCGTATGGATTCTTGCCAAATTGGCTGACGTATATGACGCAGGTGAATGTGGGTTCTGTGTTCAAGCTTGATACAAATCAATGTTTTGATGAACGTCGGGTTTATACAGACAGAGCCGTATTTCACAGGATTTTTTGGACATTTCACCAATGCATTGAAGCATTCAAATACTGCAAGCCTATAATTCAAATTGACGGCACTCATCTGTATGGGAAGTACAGAGGTACTCTCTTGATTGCAACATCTCAGGATGGAGATGGATTCTGCTCCCTATTGCCTTTGCTGTTGTTCCTCCAGGTGAGAGGTTGGATGATTGGTCCTGGTTTCTTAGCCTTTTACGTTTTCATGTCACACATAGGCATGGTATTTGTCTAATATCCAATCGTCATCGAAGCATCATAAGGGCGGTGAAAGATCACGGAGGGTGGCAGCCTCCATATGCTTATCATATATTTTGTCTACGTCACATCGGAAGCAACTTCAATACCCGTTTTAGGAATGTGGAATTGAAGAAAACGTTGATGAAATTAGGTAATGTATGGTATAATTACTCACATTTTCAACCATTTGAAGAAAACGTTGATGAAATTCACTAACCAATTGCATATGTCATGGTTGTTTTGCAGGGTACACATGTTCAAAGATAAATTTCGACATTAGATACAAGGAATTTATCAAGAACAATCCTGAAGTTGCTTCATGGTTGGATGCGATTCTGAAAGAGCAATGGTGCAGGTCGTATGATGAGACAGGACGTAGGTTTGGTCATATGACAACCAACCTATCTGAGTGTGTGAATAAGGTGCTTCGTGGAGCACGTAATCTGCCTATAACTGCATTGGTCAAGATGACATTCAGTAGACTCGTTGATTATTTCGTCAAGAGACGTGAAGGGATTGAAAAAGATATCTCACAAGGTTGGATAATTTCAAAGAAAGTTGAGGCAGCTTTGCAAAGAAATGATGAATTGGCCGGCACTTATCGTGTGAGGATATATGATAGTGAGCTGTTATTGTTTGAGGTTGAGGATGCCTACAATCAATCTACACACGAGGTTGGTGACACCATGAGAGTGGACTTAATCAATCGTACATGTCAGTGTGGTAGGTTTACAACAAGGAGGTATCCTTGCAGTCATGTATTAGCAGTTTGCAAGGTAGCCAAGTTAAACCATTATGATTATGTGGATCATGTTTTCAAAATCCCAACCATTGCTAAAGTATATGCTGCACACTGGTTTCCTATTGGCAATGAATTGTTGATTCCATCCGTTGTTGGGCCTACTGTAATTCCGGATGCCCGGTTGGTACGTGCAAAAGGAAGACCAAAGTCTTCAAGGATTCAGAATGAGATGGATTGGGTTGAGTCTCAACCCTCGAGCAGTCAGAGCAGATGTAAGCATTGCAAGCAAGTTGGACATAACATTCGTACATGTCCATTGAGACTAAGACAAGCATGATTACGTATTGTTTCTGTGTAGTACTTTGTTTTGTAATGACAATCACTTTACGTATTGTTTTGTTTCCTTGTACCCTAAACTTTATCTTGTATTAGTTATGTATTGTGTTGTTGAAATGTATTGTTGAACTGTATTCTTGTGTTGCATAACGTAAATGTTGACATCCGTTAAGTTTAGCGAGTCACTCGTTCCGTATTGTGCAATCCAAATGTCTACCATACCCATTTACCCCTTCCCCGAGTCAGTTAAGGTTATTGTATTACACATCAATTCAAAAGATGCAAAAAAAAATGGATTGAACAGCAGCTGCTGCTGCATAATCAACTGGTCTACCCGGGTAACTCGTAATGATATACCCGAGTACAACTACCCGGGTACACCAGTTCGTGGTACCCGGGTAGACCAGTTGGGAATGCAGTTGCAGCTGGTGTTTTGGCCATTTTTTTAGCATTTTTTGAATTGTTGTGTAATACCTACATACAATATGACTTGGGGGTGGATTGATTTCGTAGAAATAGGATGTCGGATTCATGATGTGCGCCAATCAATGTTGAACATCCATATTAAAGTACTTTGGGTTGAATTGTTTTCCAAATTACATATGACAATATTAATGCAAAGACCCATATTAATGCATAGAACCAACAAGTCTGAATGTGCGCAAAACGAAAATTTCATTCATTCAAATATTGAACATCCAGTACAAAAAGATCCATGCAATGTAGGTAAAGTTCCTAAATGTACCAAAATGACTACATTACATCCAAAATGGTCACCCTTGCCAACTAAATCAATGATATGAAACCCTATGGACACACTAATCCGATTGCGTGTCATCCCCATTCTCATCATCCGATTGTGTGTCGTCCCCATTGTCATCATCCTCCTCCTCCTGAGTATGGGCACCCTCGCCAACTAAACCCTCCAAGCGTGTAACCCTTGTGTCCAACTGTGCAACCTTTGTGTCCATCTGGTTCCGCCACTTGCTCGTGCTCTGTCTATATCCTCTAAAGTCAGTAGTCAGATCATATATGGATGCCATGACATGATCAAGTGTCCATCCACCCTCAGGAGGAGCTGGTGGTCGCCGACTGCGGGTGGGACGTGTCTGTCTGACATCAACCTCAGCAACGCCATCATCATCGTCATCATCATCAAGGCCTGCATCATAAACCATGAAAAACACATCTTATAAATACCACATTAAAAAATAAACAACACAAAAATGCATAAACTCATAAACACCAACACATCACCTGCAGGTGCATCCTCCATCTCAGCATCGTGGTGGACTGGGATCTCAGGTGGTTCTGGTGCCTTCTTCCACGTCCAGATACCCGCTCTGTTCGGCAGGATCCCACACTGCTTCAGGAGCCTCTCACCAAATATAGCATTCCAGCCTCTGGAGGTCTTCAAGGTTTCTGTTGCCATAGGCACTCCAAATCTATGCAGAATCTTCTGCACCAGGAATGCAAAAGGCAATTCAGCCTTCTTTGACTTGGCTGCCTTCCACATCAGTATGCATATATGATGCCTCCAGTTCACCTGTTGACGGTGAAGAAGGGCCCACAGGATGACAAAGTCCCCTTCCAGCACCTTCGAGTGATTATGCGGGCGCTGGAAAATAATATGTGTCACCACATAATGAAGAATGCGAGCAGAAACTGACAAGTTGCTCACAGGATAATGAGCAAAATGTCCGGGCTCAGCGTCTGCCCTCCTAGTCTCTGTAACAATGGCCTCCCGGTTATAATCACCAAATATATGATGGCTGTCTCCATCATATAGTGCTGCTCCTGTGACACCATCAAAATCGAAACCAGTAGCTCCGTCCAGATAGGAGCAGTCATGATGATATCAATCCCGCAGACACGGGAAGTCAGCTCGCCTTGCGAGTAGCCAAGGTTCTGGTAGAAGGCTCTTACCATAACCTCCGAGTATGGGCACCGCATCACCGCCAGGTCAAGTAAATGTGTCTCCTGAAGAAGCGGCACAATGTCGAAACGCTCTAGGTTGAAGAATGCCGAATCCAGTGATTTCGGTTCGCAGATCTTCCAGGTTATGAAAAGCTTCACGAACGTCTCGTGTGCAAGTATGTCATCCTCAAACAAATATCTGAACGTCAAGTCCGGAGCCTGACTCGAAGCAGCCTGGGGCTGAGAGGATGACGACCCATCGTGACGACTCTTGGTTCTTCTCTCGGAATGGGTCACTGGCAGCTTTGAAACGCGTCTAGAGGTCATTGCGTCACACTATTAAACTGAAAAAATAACCAAAATTAGAATTTAGATACATCCATGTTAGGGTTAGGGTTAGGGTTAGGGTTAGGGTTAGGGTAAGGGTATTACATACAAATTGATAAAATAATTCGGACAGAATCAAATGATATAAACAAAAATACAATGAATCAGAACAGAAATCAGAACAGAATTGAAAAAAACGAAAAAAAATGCACCTTTGATCGATTTCAATTGGTAGAAGGCAGAGAAGTTGCAAGGTCCGCGAATGATGATCAGAAACAAGACGAATTGGTGCAAGATTATGCCTGAAATCGCTCAAGAAGACACACCTCCAACAG